TATTAAAAGATATATATTTACTTTATTATTTTTTAATAAATAATTTTATTATTAATTTAATCAACCTTTATTCACTACTCTATCAGTTGAGCGTTGATATTACTTTTGCTCAATAATATCTCTGTTGATTTTCTCTGCATTCATCAACGTGTTAAATGTTGACACAAATCTTTATAATGTTCTTGGGATAACATTTTCATATCCCGAAATTTTGGGCACAAAAACGTCGTAATTTGGTGGAATATACTATTTGAAATTTATCCACAAATATTTCCCGGCATCTTTGCGATAGCTGGTTAAGCTGAGAGTTTAAGTTAGGATGCACTAAAAACTCAATATTTGATAACACAATATAACTTTGTGAATAGTGAGTTTTAAATCACTCTCAAGTTCATCACTCGCAATTTTAAAGGGCGTCAGAAACTTGATAAGATCCCTCATCATTTCAAAATTATATTTTCTAGTCTAATCGACTCTCCTCTGGAATTGAGGATCCCCAATATTTCATTAAATTGATTCAATCATATTTAGCCTGCTATTCCATCTAGTCTCAACACACATATGGAAAGTTTTATCGAGCTGATTAACTAATCTAAAATTTAATGACATATTTTAATAAAAAGTAAATTTATTTTAAAACTAGTTTCAGATTTAATATCTATACTTATTAGAGTTTATACTAGATTTGAGAGATGATTTAAATCTTTAATAATTAGTATTTCAACATTATTAACATTAGAAAAATATAGTATGTAAGAAAGATCTACTTACTACAGATTATGGTAAAAATAATATGGATAAGGACAATTTTACTACTACTAATTATAGAAAGCGAATAAATAAAGTTATTAGGATTATTTTAAAAATAATCATGACCAATTTGTATATGGAAAAAAACAGAATTATAGAAAGTTTTATAGGAGAATGTATATAATAAAATAATAAATGAAAGAATAAAACTTATCTTATATCTTTAGTACATAAATGAGTTTGTCTTGTCTTATCTTGTACTTCACTGGGGAAACACAATTAAGTGATAAAATATTTTGGTATCCGGTTGTTAGGTAAATTATAAAATTATAAAATAATAATTGATAATTACATGACATGTTATTATGATTGAAATTTTAAGGATAAAATGTGATAACTAAAAAAATGATATGATTTTTTAATTAATATTATAAATTATAATAACTATTTAGGATATTAATATTATTATTATTTTTTGGGTTGAGTCGGGTCGTGTTTCGGGTCGGACAGCTCTTACAACCAGACCCGAGCCCGAACCCGAGGCTCGGGCTGGGTCGGGTCGGGCCACGGACAGCCCGTGCAGTCCTCTATTTGACATAATATTATATATTAGAATTACCTTATATAAGAGATTGGGTAGTTTTTGAATTACAAAAATTATTTGTTTATCTTTGCACAAGGCTTTTCGATTATTAGATGAATTAATGGTAGAACAAAATTTTGACATGATTTGTAAGGAAAATCATATACTAAAAGAATATTAAAAGATTTTACAAATTTAAATTTATTATTTAATTATATTTATTTAAATTAAGTAACTAGTTACTTTTGACAGTTACTTTCAAAAAATTGTAGCCAGCTAAAGTTACGATTTTGTAAATGTAACTAATTATAAATATTTTTTAGCTAAAGTGTAGCTAGTTAATGATAACCACTTAATTTGACAAAACTAATGTGGAGATTTTCATTTATAAGCTTTTTTTATCTTCAGCAAAATTTATTTAGTTCTTACTTATATTATTATTCTTCCTAAAAAATTTCAAATATAGATGGGACACACCGATAATCCATTCAAGAGATAAACAAATTTTGACATGATTTGTAAGGAATTTTACGAAATTTATTTTTAAAGATAAGAATACAAAATAAAATATATAGTGTTGTTAAAAGTTACTTTGGCAATGTAACATAAAGAATATGTTTAATACTATTTGTATATGAAGTTTTTATAAGATAAACCTTGATAATATATTGAGCTTAGCAATATTCATTTCGAAATATCAAATAAATTTTTATTCATAAAAAATCTAAATAAACATAGTATAAATTATATACCAATATGAAAAATACAATTATATGATTAAATTAAACATTTAAATTTAAATTATGGGATAAAGCCCTTAAATAATTCAGCATGGTTCTCGAATAAAAATCTTCAACAATTAGAAAAATCCTTTTGGATCTTTCGCGATATTCTTTCTTTGACAGCGGAGCCAATTGTCCTAAAAAATATTGTTCCAGTCTTTGAGAACTAAAAATTAAAATCCTAAAATTTATAATATAATATAATTACTAACTCTTTATAAATTTCCAGATCGTTGGATGATGGGAACTTATATAAGACGAAAAAATATGCCAGTCCTCTACTAAATTATTTGTATTCGGTTCACGAGATAATGTCGATTCGTAGAAATTCCATAGAGAAATGCTAAATATTGGCGACTTCCTCTCTATCGTTATCATTTTTCCAATCCACGTCTCTTCAAAGTATTCTATCAAGGGGGAGAGAATATCCCTATTTTCTTGATAAAATTTAGAGGCATATAATTCCTCGAATCCATGAATTACATCCTCGATTGGTACATATGCCAGTGACATTAACATTTTTATGAGCATAGCAAAATTCGTTTTGATTTTGTATGCATTGCAATTAGCGGATTTTTTTGAACCGTGCGCCATATGCATCGAGACATATGAAATAGGCATCCGCTTTCAATAAATATAATTAAAAAATAAATTTAAATTTGTAAATTTTTTTAACATTCTTTTATATGATCTAAATCTTAGCCAATGAATTTATACTAATATATATATATTCGATTTAACATAATTTAATCGATCTGGCTAGTCCTGAATCTACTATCCACTAAAAATAATTGTAACTAGTGGCTAGTTATATTTAAAAAAAACTATTAACTGTAACTTGTTATATTTTGTATTTTCCCAAATTTAACTACTAACTTAACTAGTTGTATTACATTACCAAAGTAACTTTTAACAACACTATCTATTTTATTTTGTATTATCTTTAAAAATAAATTTCGTAAAATTCCTTACAAATCATGTCAAAATTTTATTCTACCATTAATTCATCTAATAATCAAAAAACCTCGCTTATATAAGGTAATTCTAATATTTAAAATTAAGTAAAATACTATAACCTTTTTTTCCTATGACTATATATAACATTTTTTTATAAAATAATCATATCTTTAAGTAAAATTCTTTATAAAATAATTCTCTATAAAATACATTCTTTATAAAATAATTCTCTATAAAATACATTCTTTATAAAATACATTCTCTATAAAATACATTTTTTATAAAATAATTCTCTATAAAATACATTCTTTATAAAATCATTCTCTATAAAATCATTCTCTGTAAAATCATTCTTAAAATTATTCTCTATAAAATCATTCTCTGTAAAATCATTCTCTATAAAATTATTCTCTATAAAATCATTCTCTATAAAATAATTCTCTGTAAAATCCTTCTCTATATACGACATTCTCTATAAATGGCATTCTCTATAATTGTCTTTCTATAAAAAATTCTCTATAAAATAATTCTCCATAATCGACATTCTCTATAATTGTTTTCTCTGTAAAGGTTTCTCTATAATTGTTTTCTTTGTAATGGTTTCTCTGTAATGACACAATACAATAGATATCAGTGTTATCAATATCTAGCATACCTGATGTTAAATCTATTGTACTTGTACATTATTTTTGATCTGCCTCAAATTTTAATTCAATTTCTGCAGTCTTATATCTAGTAATAATTTCTCTTTTTTGAAAGATTTTCAACAATATTTAATACTATTCACTGTCACCAGATTATGTAAACCATGACTCAAGTATAAGTGGTGTTCATCATATTCACCTAATCAAATATCCTTTTAGCATTGGGTCTTCATTTTAAAAATTTGTAAAATTAGGCTAACTTATGGAATTTTAGATATTTGATTGATTGAATTCTAAAATTATGTCAAAATAATTATGATGGTAAAATATGATTTCATCAAAATAGTGATTGACATGAAAAAATTAATTAAAATAAATGCATAAAATATAGAAATTATTTTTAAAACAATTTTGCGCCAGCTACACACAATTGATGGTGTGATTATCATAAATGAAAATATTGGATAATTCTTCCTCAGTGTTAATTAAGACTATTATATCCCTCCCCAATGTCTATAATTCTATCAAAAAAAACTGTTTTATAAATTAATTTTTTTGTTATCTAGTAATTAGATCATTTGTTCACTAAAAAAATATCAAAATTTTAATGTCCATGCTGGCTTAATAACATTTTATAAAAAATCAGAGATCTGAGAAGCTATGCTTGATTGCATATATTGTATAGCCAGTCCAGTCTGGTCCAAGTTTTATGAACAAATTGCCCATTCTACTATAATTTTTTGCCTATTTAGCCCAGTATGTCAATTTTAAATTGCCAAGCTTTGCAGATCCCTATTAAGAATGGTTTAATTAGCAAAAATTGAGGAATATTTCTTATATATTCTAGAAAATATTAGTAGATGCTAGAAAAGGTAATATTAAATTACTAAATTTATATAAATTTTTAACATAATCTTTTTTTAATCATATTTGACTATAAATATTTTGTTATTTATATTTTCATATATTTTTATTAATGGTATTTATAATGGTTAATACATTTTTTGTTATATAAAGATAAATATTACCTATTTAAAAAAATCTATATACTGCTTTAATTTTTTTCTTATATATCATTTTATGCTGTCTCCATTTTTTATTTGTTCCACCATTAGGCAATGATTATAAGGTGAGCCATAGGGTCAGGAATGCCTAACACTCAAATACTTTTTAATTATAATACTGAATAAAATATTATATTATGTTATATACAAAACAAAACAAATGCAAGTAATCTGGTTTTTAGTAGTTTAATTACAGGATCAAGAATAAATTTAATTAAACCTTTTTTAGGTAATCCCCTGCCTTTACCATTGCGGGGTTTGCGATGATTTTTGGCTCCATAAGGGTTTGAATAAAATGTCTTAATATTTATAGGTTCTTGTGATGTTGAATATAAATTGTCATTGATTGATTTGATTGTAAGAAATTTATTGTTAAAGCGCTTGGCAACTTTCGTAAAATGATTTTTAGTGTTTGACAAATCATAATAAATATCTACCCTGTCCTTTTCATTCAGAGAATTATCATTTAAGAGAATACCCATTTCTTTTTCATCATGGAAATTGTTTATCATTGTAAAATTAATAGATTGAGGCCAAAAAAAAATTTTTGAATAGGTATTTTTAATATCTATAATCAAAATTTTAACATAAATTTTATAATCGTAGAAATTAGAACAAATTTTGATTATAAGTCATTTGATCTAAAGTCCATCCATTATCAAATTGGTCTATTATTTAATAATGGATTTTGCTTTAAATATATTATTAAATTTCATAAATTTTCAAAGAATTATATTATTAATTTAATTAGTTGCCTGTCAGCGCAGAGGTAATGAAAAATAATAATGCAAATAAGTTAGGGGAGGTGGGGGGGGGGGGGGGGCGTAGGTGGTGCTAAATATCAGCTGATTGAAAGCAAGCAAATTTAAATATTTATTTACTCATTTATTAAACTATGATTTTGATAGCTAAATATAAAATTAAGCAAAAACGGCATTATTATACCACACATTGAGGAAAACTACGCATAGACATTTAAATTGCTCATCAAGATCACTTAAAGCGTATTTAGAGAAGTAATGCGAAATTTAGATAAATAAATATACATCTAGCAAATTAATGTTAAAGTTGCTAAACTATATATCGAGCAAATTACTGAATTTAGATAAACAAACTACTCATTAAAGAATTAATTATATTTTAAGATGAATAAACTGTTTAATAAAGCAAATTAATGTTAAATCTAGGTGACTAAACATCGTGTTTGTAAGAATTTTATAAAATCCTTGTTCATATTTTATTTTAATCATTACTTACATTTTATTTTTAATGATAAATTACATTTTATTTTAATCTTCTTAAAAACAATTCTTCCTTTTATATCTTTTTTTTAACAATAAAAAAATAACCAATTATTGCCTGAAAGGTATTTCTATATTATTTAACATTCAACCCTCCAATGAAATTCGGCTTATGATTTCCTTTGATAGGTTGAGTGGTAACGCCATTAACGTTCATGATCGCCACGCAATACGCGACCCATGTTCATGGTGCATTCTTCTTTTCAAACCAAATGATAGCTTGGTAAAACAGCCCCTAGCTAATTTCCAAATCGGATCGCTTGTGCATGGCATCGGACATCTAGATTCCTTTCGAGCAAGGTTTATTTTGTCGTGCTTCAGCCAGCCATCTAATTTCTGAGTCGTTGCCTTGATCTTGGCGCACGGAATTCTCCTTGAAGTTATGATCTTAGGCACAGCATCGGGCTTCAAGTGAACTTTCTCTTGTCTGACTTATTTGTGTTGTAGGAGTAAGTTGATTCGGGGTCTTTATTTGTTGTCGAGATCATTCTCTACATTACCCACTAAGAACGTTTTTAAAATTTTGCTGAAGGCATGAAGCCACATACGCCCTAGCAGATTATCACAATCCACTTCAATGGCCTCCAGTGTATGTGAGTTATTACCTTCATATTTAACGTTCACATTGGCAAAACCTCATATCTTGATAGCTCTGCCATCAAAACCAGTAAGTTTCATATCCTTCTTACGTATCGCGGTTATACCTATAGTCTTAGCTTTCAGCTTCGAAAGTATAGTGTACCTCATACCGGTGTCAACTTGCATCAACGTGGGTATGTTGTTGATGCTCACCGTCACGTTGTACGCGTCATATATGGTGTCCTTGACCCCCAGATTGTACACTTCAAGATTTTGAAGATTATATTCTTTGAGGTCTACGTTTAGGTCGTCGTCATCATCGATTACTTCGATGTTCATAGCATAGTTTGTATTCAATTGATAATCACGATCTTTGTAATCAGAAGATCTGTTGTAAGTATTATTGTCATTTTTGTACTAGTTGGGTCTCAACGAATATTTCGGGAAACCATTAATATTTTGAGAGTTGTGTCTGTGCAGACCACGATGGGGATGGTTGTTTCGGTTATCACTTCAGCAGTCATCCCGCCGATCAGGGCTTTGATGATGGTCACAATGATAGTCGTGGCGATTGCTATAGACGTTGTAGCTCCTAATGTTGTATCTATCGTCGTAATAGTTGTTGTTGCGATTGTCGAAACTGTTGCGGTTATTATGACAATTATCGTTACTTTGATCGAAAGATTGTCGTGCCTTCCGGTTAATTGTTTGTCGCGGCCGCTGTCGTAGCGTATCTTGTAACCTTCATCAAATCGTTTGTTGTTTTTCTTTTATATTTGTGCTATATAAAATTTTACGTCCTTTCTATGGCTCGAAATTTACGAAACCAAAGCCAGCCCGCACCACTAATCCAATATCATGAGTTGACCCCTAACAATTCCCTGGATGGAATGGCAAGTGATCCTACAATTGCCGCAATCGTAACCGCCATGCAAGCCATCTCTACACAAATGGCGGAATTAACCAGGGAAAGTAACGAAAGGAGACGCTGGTCTCCGTCACCACACACGTCAACTCCTCGGCGTACAGGCCGCGTGCCAACTCCACCGCCTCCGCCTTCGACCGTCGTCACCGCTCTAGTCGTCTCAGCAGTTCCGTTTCCCCACTCGAGAAATACGACAAGATGCGTAAAGTCTTGGCAGGTCTACAACAAAACCTGATAGAGCCTAAATGTAAGGCCAGCATCCGAGACCGTCACGAAATAAAGCACATAGCCAATGTGCTCGAAATCCTCAACGAAACTTCTGACCCCAGGCTAATGGAGGAAATGACAAAACGCATCCGGGTACTAGCGCTAGCTATCCATTGGAACTGGCAAACAGCCATTAATAACGACGCCTCCTATTAGGGAAAATTCCTTGGTGGTGAGGATATCAAGGTCTTTCGCGATGCACGGCCCTTTCATGACAGGGGCTATGGCCCCTCGACGTCGTCAACATACAGGAGACCAGAGCGTAAGGAGGCGGCCACCTCCAGGGGCAAGAAGAGAAAATGAGGATACCCTGGATCATCTCCCTATTTCTTCCCTCTTACCGCTACCTAATTCTACTATTCTTCCTTCTACTTCTACCATCGCGACCCTTCCGGGGGAGGTTACGAGGGGCGATGGACCACCGGCCCCACCAAGGGAAACAGATCAGCAACCACCATGGCTAGCAAAAGTAAATCAATTCTTAAGGCTGCTGAGGCATAATCTGTTCTCCCCGGAAGACGATTCGGACTCGAGTACCGACGTATCTGAAAACAATAATCAACCTCCCCCGTTGATCCGTCCGACCGCTAGCGCTGCCGATGAGTCTGACACACCGTCTTTCTTATCCGAGGATTCGGGAATACCGGAATGGTGGATACCTATCCCATCAACCGCATCTCTCCCCTCAAGCAACTCTGGGAGCGACGACTCGGCTATGTCAATCATCGCGGAACTAGATGATTCCATCTACAGTACGGATGATCCTGGTGTGCCCCAGGTAGGAGCAGCCCCCGATCTTACTGGCATTCTTGCTTGTATTAATCGGCCAGGCAACCGTGGGATTTTTACTGACGCACAGCTTGAGGGTCTCCCAAAGCTCAATATCATCACCGCTAGACTCTACATTGGACCATTGATGTCCAATTTCACCAAGCGAGTCGCTCGACGCGGATTCCAACCAAGACTGGACCACCTTAAAATAAATAACAATAATATTCCGCCACAGTGGTCCAGTCGGAGTACACAGGAAATATCAAGATATTATGCGACAGCTTCTAGACGCTGACATAATCCAGCTCTCTGACGACCCGGCGCAAATTTGCTCCCCCCTCTACGTCATTCCTAACTACGACGGCTCCCGTCGGGTAATCAGCGACTTCGCACAAGTCTCTAAAAACTTCCTACACTACCAGTTCAAACTAAAGTCAATTCTCTTGATGTCCACCAAATTGGACCAAGCTAAATTTGCGTGTAAAATCGACATTCAATCCGCTTTCTTCTCTATCCCTTTAGCAGCAAGCGTTCGCAAGTTTTTTGGAGTACGATTTAACAACTCCAACTATGCCTACAAGATCCTCCCCATGGGGGCCTCGTTTAGCCCATACTGCTTACAGTCAATAATTCTAGATGCATGCGCCAAGACTGTAAGAAAGGCCAGCTATAACGTTTACCTCGACGACATTCTAATCTATGGTGAAAATGAATTCGATGTCAAATGGTCTACCAGATCACTACGTTGTACGCTGGAAGGCTGGGGACTGCAGATAGCCCCGGAGAAATCGGTGCTTGATCCCACTGATCAAATTACTTACCTCGGGATACCGATCAATCTCACTACAAAAACCATCCAAGCTGATACCAACACTAGGCGAAGATTGGAAAAATGCTTAGCAATATTCCGACGCCATTCGTATCAACATCTTGAACTAGGACGTGCACTAGCCGCATAAGTCGTGGGGGTGGTTAATCACTATGCCTACCAATGACATATAATAATACCTAGACTGACGATTCATTCATTAAAGTACGTATGAATGCAAATCAGCTGGAGACGCCATTGACGCCATGTTGGTTACATCGATGATAAAATTTATAATATAAAAAAATATAATGAATATCAATTATAATATCCTATAAAATATTCCATGGATATTCTTAACTATTTAGCAGAAATTCATGCAAAATTAAGGGAATCAATTAAAATATCCTCATGACTATTCTGATGTATTAAGCAGAAATTCATGCAAAATTAAGGATCAATTAAAATATCCTTTCAAATATTCTGGATAAATTATGATTTTACAATAATATTTATAATATAAAAATAAATGCTTAGCTTCAGATACATTCTTAATAATATAACATTTTTTTTACATATTATAAATAAATATGTAGTATTTATTAAAGTATTATTTTGTTTAATCTTCTTAAAGTCCAATTCAAAATGATTTTTATATTATTCATAATATTTATTATGATTAAAGAAATGAAATACTTATGAATTTAATATTTCAAGGAGTTAAATTGAATCTTATTAACTATTTAACATTTATCAACCATATCGCAGTTATGGAGAAAATTTAAACCATTTTTACTTTTATTAGGATATCCTTACCCATGTAAAATCTTGATCTCTTGGTATTTATTTTTTCCAATTAGTTTTATTTTATTTATTATTTTTAATAAGTTTTTATCATTCCTTTTTGTAATATTCAATTTTTTATGTTTATTATATTTATTATTGATTTACTATATTTCTTAGGATAAATTCTGTATTGCAAACAAGAGATATATTGCATACAACTTGTTCTTCCTTACATTATATTATCCAGTTTATTTTATCAATAAAACAATTATCATTAATATATTTTTTTTTCAAACAGATAAAATAAAGATTAATAAAAATAAAATATTTTAAGACCTCATTTATGAAAAATGACCTTAATTTTAGATCAATTTAGCTTACTCTTATCTCTTTATTTTTAGAAGAATGCACATATTAATTATATGGTGAAAATCAATAATTTTTCAAGATACTAAAGCCTCTAATAAGATTAAATGTTGTATCATTACAAGAAATAGTTTATTATAAATTAGAAAATAGATATAATGTACCATAAATTACGAAATTCATTAATATAGCATCCATATTTTATTATAAATTAGAAAATAGATATAATGTACGATAAATTACAAAATTCATTAATATATAGCAAATTTAAATATATACAGTCATAATATAAATTAAAAAAGATCATGTGCCAATATATTTATTGTCCTGCGAATAGAATGGTTTTCGTCAACTTCTGCCGAATATTGATATTTGAATTTTTGTTATGTTTATCTGCATAATGATATAACCTTATGTTTATATAGCGTTCCACTATTAATGTAATTAATATTTGGTAATGACTGAATGTAGCCTCCTGGTTTAGCATATGATCTACCAGATCATCAAAAATGTTTGTTTCCATTGCTTTTGAAATGACAAATGATACTATGCATTTAAATATAAATGACTTTTTTATTTGATTATTCTTCTCAAAAATACGAAATGCACTTTCTGCTAGTTGACATAATTTAGATACGGAAATAAAGCTTTGCTTGTCTCAGGTAGAGATTCGGAAGGTTTTATTATATTATCAAAATTTATATCTCCATGAAACACTTTTTTATCCCAATGAATATGTCGCCGAATAGACATTTCATCAAGGCTTAAAATAGTAAATAATTGTACATGCGAATTTGATTGAAATGTTTTAATCCTTTTGAAGGAAGAATCTAAAAAACCTAAATAAAATTATTATAATTATAAATTATATAAATATATTAATTTTAAACCTGGCCTTATTTCTATTTGCTGGCTCCAAGATCTCAGGGTGAATAAAAATGTAATGTGGAAGCAAATTGTTTCTTTGGCTGCTATATTTTATTCTCCGAGGATTATTTAATCCTCCACTATGCACGTGGGTTTTAATCAAAGATAAAGGAAGTCCAGTAAAAAAATCCTCTAGTACATCTTCCCCTTCACCATTTATCAAATGTTTACTTTTCAATTTTTTCATTAGAGATTGTAAATTTAAAATTTTTTATTTCGTCTATTTTCTCTATCAGAAGATGCCCTCATTTTTTTTCGTAACTTTTGAATATATATCTGTTGATATCTCACTTTCCGTGTTAAGGATGGTATATTTGCAGCATGTAAATGATCATCTCAATATTTGGGAAATGTAACTACATTATTATTTGGATCTTTACTATTATTTACAGTTAATAATTTTGTTGAGTCAGTGTTTACACAAAGAAGTTTATTGCTAAGTATATCCTATTAATATTTTTTGAAAAGGTATTCATTCAGGTTAGTGGTTCATTAATATTTAGTAAAAACTCATTTTAATTTTCATCGTTAATCAATAAAATTAAATAAATAAATTACATCAATATTTTAATATAGACTTACATGGTTTATTTCTCTAACTGATTCATCTAAACACCCACACTCAAGAGTATTATGATAGCTGGTAGATGTTTTCTTAAATAAAATATTATTTGTATAATAATATAAATATATTGCTATCCATTAAATCAAAACATATCACTGATGTATATAGTAATTTAATAAATATGGCTCACTGGGCTATTATCTCTAACAGGCTCTTCCAACCCTTCCACTTCTAGAGTATTAATTGATATTTCTAATTTTTTCTTAAATATTAATAATAAAATTTTATTGATCTTTTATAAAGTAATAATATTTTACCTTTTTAGCTAAAGAGTAAATATTAGTAGCATAAGTATGATCATTTTTTTCTATATAGTTAAAATATGTAGGAGTATTATTTGTATTCGATGGAATATTTGTTATCTTAAAAAAATATAATATTTAAAATAAATATATATTCAATATTTATACATCCTGAAGGGGTCTGGAAATAAAAATGGATGGTACAGATCCTTCCTTTAGAATAGCATTCCCTGAATGTGAGGGCATAAAACATTCAGGTTTGAAATGGGCTCCACAAAGCTTTGAAAACTTATTAGGAGTGAAATTTTCCTTATTCATTGCCTTTATCCATTTTGATAATAAAATTTCATTCTTGATAGGGAATCTTAAAAAAAATAATATTAATGTCTTAAATTAAGAAAAGAATCTTATAAAATAATAAATTAAAATATATAACCTATGAAAAGAAATTTTTTTATTAGAAGTTAAGCTTGTATTCTTGCATGAAGTACAGCGACTCATATCAATCTATCTTTAAATAAAAAACGATAATTATTAATTGAAGATATAGACAATTAAGGATAATTTTAGATGTAATTTTATCAAATAAAGGTAGGGCTGGCTAATTAGATAAATATATATGGGTAGACTAGAACTAGACAGATAGATAAAGTATAAATATATTATTATTTTTTTATAGTTATATTTATTTTCTTATATAATGTTAAATAAAAAAATAAAAATAATAGATATAAATCAGAGTTGTTAAACGCTATTTTTAAAAGTAGCGCGCTACCGTAATAGCTATTTGTCAAAAAAAGTAGCGCGCTACCGCTTTCGCTATTTGTCAAAAAAAGTAGCGCGCTATTAGCTACTTTTTTTCAAAAGTAGCTTTAGCTACTTTTAAGCTACTTTTATAAAAAAAAATTTAGAAACAAATGAAACAAATTTTTTTTATTTTTTTTTTGCTTATAATGTAAATGTATAATAAATAATATATAAAAATCAACATTTATAAATATAAAAATATAGTTAGTATAATATAAAAAAATAAGCAATATAAATAAATATTTATTTTAATTTGTTGCATTTTAATAATAATATCATTTCAATATTATCATCCCCAAGTCTAGAGCGACGATCAGAAAGTATAAGCTTTGCTTTACTTAATAATCTCTCGACACTAGCACTTGAGGGCAAGGGGGTATTAAATTTCATATATAAATTTTTAATATATGAAAAATTATCAAAAATATTCATCTCAATATTTTTTGATTGAAAAAAAAGATCAATTGGATTTTCTATTAAATCATCTTTAATTTCAAAAAAATTATTTGAGGATGTCTTCGTGGTAGATACTCGGCAATCTCTGTTTGTTGGAGTAAGAATATTCAGCTTCGCCATTAGCCTATCTTATTTATAATTTAATATAAATTATGATAATCATAATATTACTAAATTATGTGTGTATTTAGTTAATAAAAATTCTATAAATAATGTGAAATATTAAAATACTAAATATTTTATAGATTAAATAATAACCATTCCATTCTGATAAAAATCATAACCTAAAATAAATATTATAAATAAATTTGTGATATAACCTAAATGCCTTCAGGTAGTTAGACCCATTATCAGTAACCATCTTGCAAACTTTATTATGAATCCTAAAAGACTTGTGGATGTCAATAATTTTATTTGCAAGTACGTCATATGTCTGGCATCCTATAATCCTTTTAAGGGCTAAGGCTACAGATCTTCTTTTTAAAGTCCTAGGGTCTAACTATTAGAGCATCTTTCATCACTTTGAAGTTGTCGGCTATTTTATTCATAAGTGTCTGGCGACATAAAACTGTTGTGCCAGGGGATAAAGTTTTAATCATCAGAGTAAATGATGGATTATCAACCAAAGACACTGGCTGAACTGTGTCAATAATAAAATCAACAATAACTTTATCAACCAATTTTTGTGAAATATTGGTATGTTTATTATCAGTTAATTTGGTTTGGATAGTATCTCTTTTTGAATGAAGATTCTCCTATACCAAATTTTTTTATATGTTTCTCTATTTCCTTATAGCAATTGGCGTGAACAGTCTAATAAAATAAATAATATTATAATGTAAAAATAACAATTTACCTTTAGGTGTTTCTTCAGGTTATAGCTACTCGATTGATTTGATGATATATTTTTTTTACATTTTAAGCACATGAATTTGAATCCAGATTTTGTTTAATATTTATTTTAAAAAATTTTTCAAATTTAGGGAATGGAAAAACGTTATTAGAGCTATTAATTCCATTGAATCTTCCATATCTGAATCACTTTCAAGGATTTGGATATCCATGGACGATGCCATTTTAGATTATTAACACAGATTGAAAATATAAATTAAAAATTGAAAATATATTTAAATTTCAAAATTAAATAATAAATTATAAAAATTATAATTAATTATGATATTATATTTAAATTTTCATGTTTATACTTACATTCATTATATTTTTTAAAAGTAGCGAAGTAGCGCGCTACTTAGCTACTTTTAAAAAAAGTAGCGCGCTAAAAAATTAAATAATTTAAAAAAAATAGCGGCTATTAGCTATAGCTACCAAAAAAGATAGCGCGCTAAGTAGCGCGCTACTTTAACAACTCTGATATAAATAAACTATTATTATATATGATGAATGATAATTATCAAAAAAAATATTATTTTATTTTATATTTTTATATAATTTTATTCCTTATTTAATATAAAATTATAAACTTGGATAACCATTTCATAAAATTTTTATGTCAGCCTGGACATTTTTAGATATTTGAAAATTTAGAGCTAAAATTCTTATTTATACGGGAATGACTAAAATACGCGTCCCCAAAAACTACGCGTCCCTACGCGTCCCCGGTCAAAACGACTTATTTTTATTATTATTAATAGGAAATCTTATTAAGCTTTATAAGATGAGTTAGAAAATGTTTTTTTTAATTTAAAAAAAATACGGTAACTATATAAAATTTACAAAAATTTATTTTTTTAAAAAATAAACTACGCGTCCCTACGCGTCCCCGGTCAAAATACAGTTTTTTTAAAAAAATCAAAACGGATTCATATTTAGCTCATTAAAAGAATACAGAATATGTAAATATTATATTTTAAACTATTTTATAACTTAGTGATTTTTTCAAAAAACACTTTTTTTTTCAAAAACACTACGCGTCCCCGGTCAAAAAACCTTTTTTTTAAAAAAATAAAAGCAGATTCATGTTTAGCTTTTTAAGGAGATTCAGAAAATGGTATTAATAAAAAAAAATTTTTTTTTGGCTAAACTACGCGTCCCTACGCGTCCCCGGTCAAAATACAGTTTTTTTTAAAAAATCAAAACAGATTCATATTTAGCTCATTAAAAGAAAACAGAATATGTAAATATTATATTTTAAACTATTTTATAACTTAGTGATTTTTTCAAAAAACACTTTTTTCGAAAACACTACGCGTCCCAGGTCAAAAAACTGTTTTTTTTAAAAAATAAAAGCAGATTCATGTTTAGCTTTTCAAGGAGATTCAGAATAATTTTGGTAGTTGAGAATTCAAATAAAATATTTAAAAAAGCCATTGTCTAGCCCATATTTAAAATTAAAAAATTTTCAAGGATATCTATTTTAAATTTTACCCAAGTTGATTTCTATCATAAATGTAAATTATGATATTTCTAATACCCTTACATTGCAACATTTTTACCTTTTTTTCTCCTAAATATTAATATTTTTATGAAATATATTAATAAAGCATATTTAGTATCGTATACACCTAACTAATTAGTAATTACCCATCAACCCCGTCATTCTGATTAAATTAAATTAATTTTATAAAAAAAAATTTTTAATATATATATATACAAATATATCAAAATATAAAATGGACGGGGGGGCTCAATGGTTAGAACGTATGCCTTCCGAACGATAAGTTGCGAGTTCGAATCCCGTATTAGCGAGATAATAATAGCTCTCGATTTATTTAACATTAAGATGATAGGAAAGTTGATAGAAAAAAAAAATTTTAACATTAGGAGATAGGAAAGTGAAATTAACGTTAAGAAGATAGGTAAGTTGATAGAAAAAAAATTAACATTACCAAGATACGAAAACGTTCATTGATTACATTTATAGATAGATATATATCATATTAAATCAATGTGTTAAAAAGCTATATTAAATCAATGTGTTAAAAAGCTAAAAAATCAAACAAAGTTGAATGTTCTAAATCTGATTGATGAATTAGAAAATATTATAAAGGTAAAAAGGCATATAAAAATAAATATATTATATTATTATATAAACTATAAATAGATATCGAAGATGAAAACAACATCATATTATAGTTTGGTCAATGATTGAAATTGGAAAACTAAATCGTGATACGTCGGAAACAACATTCTATAAAGACTACCGTGATTGAAACACCCACATTATTTTACAACAAACGAATATTTACATTTTTTTACCTATTACGATTGTATATAATAATATGTAATATAAATGGTATTTTATTAAAAAATATGTTTTAGTAATCTTATTATATTAATAAATTGTATATTTCTTGAAATAATAAATGGTATATTTATCTGATTAATAAAATTATTTGTTTTATAAATTTGGTGAATATAGTAGGAGAGACTGCGGTTAGTCTATTTTTTTACATAATATAAAAAATAAAATATGATTAGATACCGAAAACAATACTTTATAAAGGGGCCTTATAAAAAATTTTAAGAATATATTTATTTTTTTTAAATTTTATTTTTTGTAAAAATCAAATATATGTCTAACAATCCCCAATAGCGGGGTGAGGCAAACCACTTCAAGGGGCTTCCTAAACCATTGGTTTTTTAAGGCCATAATAAATTGAAATGTATTTTTATTTATTAATAATGATACAAATAGAATAATTTTGTTGTATTGTAGTATATATCATATACTTATAAATTGAGGCTTATTTTATATAAAAATTGAAACTTAATTTTGGTTAATTTAATAAACATTTTGGACATAAAAAATAAAGATCTTAAGGAGAGATTATGATAGCATAAATCCTAAACACCAATTATAAAATAGACATGAATTGCCTTTACAAGATTTTAAAATTTTTTTCATTATTAACTGCTTTAATTGACTTGTATGGTTTAGCAAGCGCCGCTAGCTCTAAATTGACAAATTATGATTGAAATATTATCTAGATATAATAAATACACATTGAACATTTCCAAATTATAGAAGAGTGTTTAAAATTAACTATAAAATTTAATTTACATATAAATGATTATATATTATAATTAAAATTCTATCATGTAAAAATCTTTTGAAAACTTCATCAAAATTTTATTTCTTAAATAAAATTTTTAATAATTTAATATTTCAAAAGATTTTTTGTCTATAGATGTAAACTAATAAAAACTATATTAGGATATTTAATTTTGAAATGAGATTAAGTGTTTGCCAAGCCCGGGGTCCTAACCCCAGTCTCCCATATACAAAACATATAAAATGATAAATTTTAACTATTAATGTAAGATTAGAAAGTTATTTTAAAAAACTTATTACTAACATAAATGAAAAATAAATTATAATTATAATATTTTCTAATTCATCAATCAGATTTAGAACACTCAACTTTGTTTGATTTTTTAGTTTTTTAACACATTGATTTAATATAGCTTTTTAACACATTGATTTAATATGATATATATCTATCTATCTATAAATGTAATCAATGAACGTTTTCGTATCTTGGTAATGTTAATTTTTTTTCTATCAACTTACCTATCTTCTTAACGTTAATTTCACTTTCCTATCTCCTAATGTTAAAATTTTTTTTTTCTATCAACTTTCCTATCATCTTAATGTTAAATAAATCGAGAGCTATTATTATCTCGCTAATGTTAAAAAATTTTTTTTTAAATTTTTTATGGCAATACGGGATTCGAACTCGCAACTTATCGTTCGGAAGGCATACGTTCTAACCATTGAGCCCCCCCGTCCATTTTATATTTTGATATATTTGTATATATATATATTAAAAATTTTTTTTTATAAAATTAATTTAATTTAATCAGAATGACGGGGTTGATGGGTAATTACTAATTAGTTAGGTGTATACGATACTAAATATGCTTTATTAATATATTTCATAAAAATATTAATATTTAGGAGAAAAAGAGGTAAAAATGTTGCAATGTAAGGGTATTAGAAATATCATAATTTACATTTATGATAGAAATCAACTTGGGTAAAATTTAAAATAGATATCCTTGAAAATTTTTTAATTTTAAATATGGGCTAGACATTGGCTTTTTTAAATATTTTATTTGAATTCTCAACTACCAAAATTATTCTGAATCTCCTTGAAAAGCTAAACATGAATCTGCTTTTATTTTAAAAAAAAAACAGTTTTTTGACCTGGGACGCGTAGTGTTTTCGAAAAAAGTGTTTTTTGAAAAAATCACTAAGTTATAAAATAGTTTAAAATATAATATTTACATATTCTGTATTCTTTTAATGAGCTAAATATGAATCTGTTTTGATTTTTTAAAAAAAACTGTATTTTGACCGCGGACGCGTAGGGACGCGTAGTTTAGCCAAAAAAAAATTTTTTTTTTATTAATACCATTTTCTGAATCTCCTTAAAAAGCTAAACATGAATCTGCTTTTATTTTTTAAAAAAAAAGGTTTTTTGACCGGGGACGCGTAGTGTTTTTGAAAAAAAAAAGTGTTTTTTGAAAAAATCACTAAGTTATAAAATAGTTTAAAATATAATATTTACATATTCTGTATTCTTTTAATGAGCTAAATATGAATCCGTTTTGATTTTTTAAAAAAAACTGTATTTTGACCGGGGACGCGTAGGGACGCGTAGGGACGCGTAGTTTATTTTTTAAAAAAATAAATTTTTGTAAATTTTATATAGTTACCGTATTTTTTTTAAATTAAAAAAAACATTTTCTAACTCATCTTATAAAGCTTAATAAGATTTCCTATTAATATTAATAAAAATAAATCGTTTTGACCGGGGACGCGTAGGGACGCGTAGGGACGCGTAGTTTTCGGGGACGCGTATTTTAGTCATTCCCTATTTATACTGTATAAAAATATATTACAATATGTACATTTATTTCTATTTTCAGAGCTATGTAAATAGAATACTAAATTTAAAAATAATAGTTAATTAACAAAAATCAGATTTAAATTTTTATAACTTTTGGGCTAAGCATTATACAATTTTTATATATTTTAAAAACAACCTTCAAAATAAAACAATTTCTAAATCTTGAGTTATAAAATTGATACTTACCTAAGCCCTAGATTGACTTATAATATGAATATTCTTATATAATCTTCTCTATAGGTATATAATTGCACGGCCGTGACTAGAGCTAGCACCCGTGATATTTAGTAAAATATACTAAAGCTAACACCATGATAATTAATAACATTTTATCACGTGACAATTCATTTTCATATGATAACCCGCTTAATTTAAAAATATTTTTTAATGTTTCTATTTTTTGAATTAGACAAAGTTAGTAATAATTTTTGTAAATTGATTAATTAAATATTAAAATTTTATTTATAGATATGCCTATAGATGTATAGAACCTCCATAGTCCATACAAGCAATTCAAATTCGGAATTAGACAAAGTTAGTAATAATTTTTGTAAATTGATTAATTAAATATTAAAATTTTATTTACAGATGATACATTTAGGAGCAATATTTTCATCATATGATTCACTTAGTAGCATTATTAAAGAATATGAGCAGTCATGCCTAGTTAATTTATATATTGCAAGGTCTACATTGTTAAAAGCTCCCCATCCTGAAGAGCTCATAAATCTTTTTAAATATCAAAAGGTTTATTATTCTTGTAAATATGGGGGATCCATACAAAAAAATCGCTCAAAAAATATAAGGAATACTTCAACATTTCGTAAAATGTGCTCTTTTAAATTTACAGTGTGTCTAAAATACAAAGATACTACCCACTTCCTACAAATTGTGACTATGGTCAATAAACATACAAACCATGATTTAGGTAAAATTTTACATAATAAATTTATAATAATCATAATTAGATAAAAATACATTTGAATCTCTTCCTAAACAAAGAGTACTTTCTCTTGAAGAGAGAGAATCAGTTGAAAAGTACTTAAACTTAAAAGCTAACAAGCTAAAAATACAAGAATCCATGCTTAAATTAGGAAAAAATATCACCCTTAAAGATATTCACAATTTACAAACTAATATTAATAAATCAAAGTGTAATGATTTAGCCAGCATTTTCCAGCTGCTTAAAGGAAATAAAGGATCTATTGTTGAGGTCACTGAAGAAAATGATATTCTATTAGGAATTTTTTTTCAAGATGAGATGATGCAACATAATCTCAAAAGATATCCAGAGGTTATGTTTGTGGATGCAACCTACAAGCTAAATAATTATGGGATGCCTCTCTTCATTACCTTAATAATTGATGGAAATGGTGAATCACAAATAGTGTCACTTTGGCTTGTACAAAGTGAAAGCTATAAATGTGTAAAAAAAATGTGTGATATTATGAAATATCATAATAATAATTTAACAAAGCTTGAAGTTATTGTGGCTGATAAAGATATGGCAGATAGAAGTGCCTTCTATGAAAGTTTCCCAGCAGTAAATATTCACATATGTATTTTTCATGCTTTGAGGATATTTAAAAGAGAGATTACAGCTGAAAAGAGAAAAATTACTACATCTGAAGTTAAAACAGTGCTGGAAATACTAGGAAAAATGGTATACAGTAAGACTGAAGATGTATACAATTATCTTTACGAGAAACTTATAGATTTAAAATTGCCCTTAGTTTCTTTGTATTTTAATACACATTGGCACTTTATTAGAAAAGAATGGGTGATATATTGGAGAAATGAGTCACCACATCTGCTCAATTTTACTAACAATCGTTTAGAATCTCTTAATCAAAAAATTAAAAGAGTTGTAAATAAATATTCTCCTTTAAATGATCTTTTTTCAGATTTATCAACAGTAGTTAGTTCTCAAGCCTTTGAAAGGCATCACAGAAATATAATGTGTATTGAGAGGCTACCATGTGTCACCTACGCATGTTATACTCCAGAAAATTTGTATTCAATTCTTTTAACACCATATGCCTTTAAAATTATTTTAAATGAAATCTCATTTCATAATCAAATACATCTATTAAATATTGATACTATTTTAAACCATGCGTTGGTCTGTGAAAAGGGTGTAGAATTTAAAATTACACTAAAATCATGTGCATGTGGCTTTTTGACTTGCATAAAGCTGCCTTGTCGCCACATATTAGCACTTCATGCTGCCTTAAAATTGGATATTTATCTTAATCATCTCTGTGGAGAGAGGTGGACTAAAAAATATACACAGGATAGCTCAATATTGTCACCTGAAGATTCTTCTCTGTCTCAGTCATATTTAAACATTTCCCAACATCATGATTTTCCATGCACAAAAAATTTGTCAACCAATGAAAAATTTAAACAAGTTCAAAGAATATTGATGCCCTTTTCAAGTTTAACATCTCAGCTTCCTCAAGAAATTTTTGATGTATTTATCGAAAAACTAAAAAAACTTGATAGTATAGTTCAAGCTGGAAAATATTTTGATATCATTGAAGTGAATCAAAGTATATTTCCCAATCCCATAGTTATTCCAAAGATAAACATTATACAAGGTTAGATTATATTTTATATAAATAAATTTTTAAATATGGAATATAGATACAAATGTAATAATCCCTATCATAAAATCAATATCAATTATTCCTAAGACTGAGAAAATTGTAGATATTGATGAAACTCTCCAAAAATTAAAAAGTATCAAACTACCACTCAAAATGAAAAAAAAAGGTAGATCCAGAAAATCTGATTTATCAGTAATAGGAATTTCAAATAAAAAGGGGAAATTATCATCATCAAGTAACATAATTAAATTTTATATAATAAATTCAAATTATAGATAAGATATTACCAATTAAAATGGGCATCCACTCACAACCAAATTTAACACTTGTCGAAAACCCAAAATTGAGCTCTATTTTATCATCAAGTTACAAAATTAAATTTTATATATAATAAATTAATAATTCTAGACAGCAAAATAATATTACCTATCAAAATGGGCCTATACTCACAACCAAATAAGACTTTTGTTAAAAATGCAATGACAAAAGATACTAACAATATACCCCAAACCTTAAAATTTACTCTTATTTGTTGTAATATACAAAATTATTTTTTAGTAAATAAAGCACATTCTAATACCAATCAAAAGGGTTGTATTCCATTTTTAGAAAATTACCTACCTAGACCAAATGTGATATGTATGATTATGAGATTTTATATTCTATTATAAAATTAAATTTTAGTGGATCAAATTGCACATAAATATAGACCTCTCAAAACTTCATTCAGTACTTTTAAATTTATAATGTGACAATAATGATTTTAACTTTTTTAGAAAAAATTCAATCTACACAAGATCCAATATTCATTTTTCAGCCAACAACATCGGAATGGAAAAAATATCATTCTGAAATTTTAGGCCTAACCTTAAATGCACCTCAAAATTCTCAAAATTTAACATCCACAAACTTAGGGGATCCCGATAAGGTCGACCAAGTCCTAGGTGATGGAAATTGTTTATTCAGGTATTTTATATTATCACTTAAATTATCTTACTAATTCTTATTATAGATGTATTAGCAAGGAGATTAGCAATAATGAGGAATATCATGAGATGATCAGGATGGCTATTATTTCTTTTATGATGCATCATTCCAACTACTTTTCTGGATTTATAGGGATAAAAACTACTGATTACATTGTGAAGAATAAAATGGGCTGCAGTGGCACATGGGCAACAGATGTGGAAATTGCATGTGTCTCAACATTGCTTCAAACAAGAGTGTTTGTTTTTTATAATGACAAATGGCTTGCCTTTGACCCTTTATTTATTATTCCTGAAATAAAAAAATTTTTCTGTTGCATTTATATAAAGAATAAAAATTATAATTTAGTTTTGTCCTGTAAATGATATATTTATATATATAACCATTTTATGAGAATATTTTTTTTAGTCTTATTTTTTTACTATAAAAGTTTTAGTTATCTATTTATATTTATACACAAAAGTAATTTTTATATTTTTTTTTACTATAAATACATCTTTATAAATATTTAGTCTATATACACAAATAAAAGTACATTATTATACACTATTTGAAGTTATTTTTTTTAGCCAATATACTAATACATATTCTCCAATACAAATAAATAGCAAAGAAATATATTTAACAAAAAAGATATATACCTTTTAGATTTTATCTTTTATTTGTTATCATTTAAAATTAAGTTATGTAAATTAAAATAATAGAAAAATTAGCAGAACCATCTTGTCAGTTTATAAATGTGTAAAATACTTAGAAAAATTTTATTTTTGGGTATTGGTCTCTGATAAAAATTGTAAATATCATTATTGGTTGTATGGCTTAAAACTTTTTATATTAAAACAAATTAAGAAAATAAGCAAAAAAATGTTTTGGTTCTTTTTATATTTAAATTTTAAGTTTGGGACAAAACAATTAGAGTATGAAAAAAATGGGCTATGATTGAGCTAAAAAAAATTAGGCCAGATTGGTTACATTCTTTTAAATTAACATGATAAAATTCAAAATTTATTACAAATTGTTTATATTTTATTGGCACATATAAATATTTTACAATTAATGGTTATTGTAACTATATATAAATGAACAATCTTTTGTGAATTTGAATTGCTTGTATGGAGGTTCTATTTATAAGCATATCTATAAATAAAATTTTAATATTTTACAATTAATGGTTATTGTAACTATATATAAATGAACAATCTTTTGTGAATTTGAATTGCTTGTATGGAGGTTCTATTTATAAGCATATCTATAAATAAAATTTTAATATTTTACAATCAATGGTTATTGTAACTATATATAAATGAACAATCTTTTGTGAATTTGAATTGCTTGTATGGAGGTTCTATACATTTATAAGAATAATAAACCTTTTGATATTTAAAAAGATTTATGAGCTCTTCAGGATGGGAGTTTAATGTAGACCTTGCAATATATAAATTAACTAGGCATGACTGCTCATATTCTTTAATAATGCTACTAAGTGAATCACATGATGAAAATATTGCTCCTAAATGTATCATCTGTAAATAAAATTTTAATATTTAATTAATCAATTTACAAAAATTATTACTAACTTTGTCTAATTCCGAATTTGAATTGCTTGTATGGACTATGGAGGTTCTATACATCTATAGGCATATCTATAAATAAAATTTTAATATTTAATTAATCAATTTACAAAAATTATTACTAACTTTGTCTAATTCAAAAAATAGAAACATTAAAATATATTTTTAAATTAAGCGGGTTATCATATGAAAATGAATTGTCACATGATAAAATGTTATTAATTATCATGGTGTTAGCTTTAGTATATTTTACTAAATATCACGGGTGTTAGCTTTAGTATATTTTACTAAATATCACGGGCGTTAGCTCTAGTCACGGCCTAATTGCACACAGCAAATAATATGGCCGAGGATAGGTGCAACCCATTTGCAAATATATTTGATGCTATTGACAATCATTTAGATGGCAAATATAATGATGGATAAGTGCAACCCAGTTGCAAATACATTTGATGCTTTTGACAATCTTTTAGATGGCAAATATAATCACGATAGTTGCATCCTAATTTCAAATATAAATATAGATAATGACAAAAAATATGCTAATTTTAATGTGGGAAAATTTAATAAAATTTTAAAATGAATAATAAAAATTAATAATATATAACACCTTATGAATTGGGATCTAACTAAAATTCTTCTATGAATTCCTTATAATATCAAATCTTCTAATTACTTTTTATCTTTAAATAATAGATACATACCTAAAAGTGTTTCATAGTTTAAAATAAATAGCTGATATTATTCTAATAAAAATATGATCCTTCACTTATAATTTCAAATTTTTCCTACATTTATATTATTTGGGATCTAAATTCTTCCTTATATCAAATCTTCAGTAGATTCTTATTTTATTTTTAAAGATAGATACATACCTAAAAGTGTGTCAGGGTTAGCTGATATTATTCTAATAAAAATATAGATCTTTCATTTATAATTTCAAATTATTCCTACTCTTATATTACTCTAATTGTTTCAAGTTTTTTAGGCAAAAATTTTTGAAATTTGGCTTTAATAATAAATTAGAATTTATAAAGTGCTCTTATATTCTTAAAAATTATATTTCAGTCAAATTAATGAAGATAAAAGAAATTAAAATTACTATAAATAATTATTTAGGGTATAGTATAGGAAAAAGTGTTATTATCCTTCAAAAAAGCTTTATTTTGCTCTAATTCTAACATAAATCAAATAAAAATAAAGATAAAATCAAGTCAACAAATTCAATTGAAATTATTTTATTCATAAAATTTCATTTACAACTGTAAATCTAATAAATACATAAATAATTATAATCATTTAATAATTAAAATATAAAATGCGAATAAAATTTCATTTACAACTGTAATACATAAATAATTATAATCATTTAAAAATTAAAATATAAAATGCGAATAAAAATAAATTTAACAATTTAAACAATACCAATAAGTATTTTTTTTTTTTTTGATTTTATGACATTTAAAATGAAACCAGGACAAGCAAAAATAATTTGATATATCAGTGGTGAATCTATTAAAAATATCATAGTTTTATTTAAAAATATTAATTTACCTTGAATTTTATTAAATTATTTGAGCCAAACTTGTATATTGAATAATTTGATATCAGAATCAGTGGTAAATCTATTAAAAATATCATAGTTTTATTTAAAAATATTAATTTACCTTAAATTTTATTAAATTATTTGAGCCAAACTTGTATATTGAATAATTTGATATCAGAATCAGTGGTGAATCTATTAAAAATATCATAGTTTTATTTAAAAATATTAATTTACCTTGAATTTTATTAAATTATTTGAACCAAACTTGTATATTGAATAATTTGACATCAGAATCAGTGGTGAATCTATTAAAAATATTATAGTTTTATTTAAAAATATTAATTTACCTTGAATTTTATTAAATTATTTGAGCCAAACTTGTATATTGAATAATTTGATATCAGAATCAGTGGTCAATCTATTTAAAATATCATATAATTTTATTTAAAAATATTATTTTTCCATTTGAAAGAATAATGGTTGAATTTGTATATGTTTGTAATTGGCGGGGAAAAAAGGGGGTGCATCCTTTGCGTAACAAATATGGTGTTTATGGCGTCTCTAGCTGATTTGCATTTATACATGCTTAAAAAGGCATTTTAATGAATGAATCGTCAGTCTAGGTATTATTATATGTCATTGATGCCTACACAATAACGGGTATGTCAAGATTATTCTCGTCTTACTATATTACCATGAATAACTCAAGTTTGACCCCTATAACGGACACATACCTTGCATTCCGAAAGGCCAGCATCATAATTTAAGCTATGAAGGATCCTCTCGCCCTCCGATATTATGCCGATATGCCAGTCTACACAGACGCTTCTAATTCGCATATTGGCATCTGCATCTGGGAAATTGAGCTCAAATCCATTTCCTATAATGAAGCAAGTTTATTATTCAATATTCCTTCTCATGCAATACAACATATCAACGCAAAGGAAGACCTAGCAGCAGGAATGGGCGCTATTCTAGCCCTTAGCAGCGGGCAACGACCCATGATATTTACTGACTCAACAGTTACATATTACTCCTACAAGAAAGATGGCTCGCGCTCTCCATCCATCGAAATAGTCATCACCCAAGTCCTCGAGAAAATAGGTCTTACCCATTTCACCAGTCTGTCACAGAACATTCAATGGATACCCTCCGAGGATAATCCTGCAGACGAACCACCAAGGGTATGGATGGCTCAAAGGGAACATCTAGATCTATTTGGTGACCGTATCCTTACCGGACAGCTGACTCTTCAACAAGAAGAAACATCACTATTTGGAGTAGAATCCTCAGTCAGTACTCCGTCCCTCCTATCAAACTTACCCAGTATGAACACTACGATATCTTACCACTGGGACCAGATCTCAATCAACTCTACCGACCTTCTCAATTAAATCAAATATAACAAAACAATATAAACCATCAGAACGAATCATTCCCTCTATTTATTTGTATAAATACTTATTATATCTGGTTATATCAATGATTCATTGGGTTATATACTCATTATTGTTTTTCTTTTATATTTGTGTTATATAAAATTTGATTTAATAAAGCCTTAGGGATGCCAAAGGCATAAAGGCCAAGGCATCCAGTTACTTCCACTTTCCTGCAAATAGGAGTTAGTTACAAGGAAGTAACAGAAATGTTGACTGGGGCGATTTTCATTGATGAACTGGGGTTGCTTGATGAGAGATATATCAAGTGCATGAAAATCCTGAATGGGTTTTGCGGTCACGTAATCATTTTTGACTCAGCCCATGTGATTAACCTCTTGTACTCCAGGTGATTCATTCAAAGGAATCAATTTTATCACGCTCTTGATGTCACTTGGCTCCGCGGTGTCTTCCTTTAGACCTAGATTGTAAATATTTTCTATAGTCATAGAGCTCCTGGCCACTTTCCTGACATCTTTGGAATTCGAAGATACTCTCACTTTCTCAATAATTCGCTAAATGTCATTGAATTTGCATTCTTTATTGAGTCGTGCTACGCGCGTGACCCAAGCCGAGAAAGTCTCGTCCTTGCCTTGAATGGTAGCATAAAATAATGATAGTTTAGCGTTCTCAGTCTTTGACGGATGTTGTAGCTTGAATTTGCCAAGCAGAGCGATTGGGTCTTGGAAGTCTGCCTCAGTGCAAATTGCTCCAATGTTATTGAATTCGTCATCTGAAAGACTTCGGAGAAACCAAGCAGCCTTTTCTCCGTTGGAGATCTTGCTGGTTTCGAAGAAATTCTGCAATTTCCCTATGTAGGCGCTGTCATAGCTACTAAATTTGGGGAAATCCAGTTTGACGTATTCAGTCATATATGTGGAATTGTTCAAAGCATCCATCATAAGAGAATTATAATCGATTAAGTCGTAAAATAGAATAGATATACATTGAAAAATCAAGATCGAATTTTAAGATAATACCTACGCAATGTTCGGACGTAAATTGGTCACCATGTAAGAATTTTATAAAATCCTCGTTCATATTTTATTTTATTCATAATTTACATTTTATTTTTAATGATAAATTACATTTTATTTTATTCCTCTTAAACAAAAACAATTCTTCCTTTTATATCTTTTTCTTAACAATAAAAAAATAACCAATTATGTGAAATACAAATTGATATATAAAAAAATGTAAAGTTAAAATGATATAAAGAAAATGTTAATATAAATTTTTACCGATTAAACTTAAATACAAATTGATATCAAAAAAATGTAACGTTAAAATAATATATTAATATAAAATTTTGTCCGAAATATATTTTTCTATTATTTAACAGTGTGAATTAATGTATCATTAGCGGAGTTAGAAATTTTCTTTGGGGGAGGGGGTTCATAACTCTAGATGCCTGGGTGCTAGACCCTCCGCTAACGGGCCTTCAGCACTTTTTAGGATATTATTAATTTTAATCAACACAAAATTGGACATTTCAAAATTTTTGTTATAGATTATTATTCAAATTATTATGTTTTTAAATTGTTTTATAAGATAATATATATATAATAATATAACTAGAGGATAAAAAAATGGTAAAATCGCTCTATTTTAGCTTATTTTCAAAGACTAATAACTCAAAATATTAAACAGGTAAATATCGACTGAGCCTTAGGATTTCGCTAATAGATGTCTGATCCTTTGTGCTATCTATGAGAAAAATCTTAAGGCCTGCATAATATTTTTTTGGATAAATTACTGGGTTAGCCATTTTTAAAAATATGAAAAATGGAGTAGCATCACTACCTTCAGATTGTTTTACATATCAACTAGTTAACCAGATTAATGGAACTATATTAATATATTAAATTTATAAAAAAAATTATCTAAAAAAAATTCAAAAAGAATATATAGCCAAAAAACAAAAACTAATTTATTAAAAAAAATTTCTCAACTTTTATATAACATCACATGAGCATACTAATAAATTTATAAAAATTGTTTGCTGTAAAAATTAATACTTTTATTATAGAATTATTATAATACAATTCATCGACCAAATCTATATATTGCAAACAATCATACTCACAAATAAAACTTTCTGCTATCCTTTGTAATGTAATTTAAAAGGTTTAGCTATTTCAGCAAGCTCA